GTATTAGACGTCTTGAAAACTGTTTTCCTGATGGAATTTTGAGAATAGAAGAAATTTTCCTACAAGATGTCATTTCAATACAAAAAAGTAATAAAGTTGGAAGGAGAAAATTGGGAATTACAAGATGGAAACCTAATGACCAAAATTCAAAAAAAAATAAAAACAAAATGGCATCGAGTTCAAATACAGAAAATTCTATTTCTGATCAACAGGTGCCAACTAATTTGATACCTCAAGTAGTAATTATAGATAAAGATGGGCCGCTAATAAAAAAGCCAAGACAAGCACGTCGTGAAACTAAACCCGAAGAAAAGAGTCTTTTAGAACCATTAGTGACTTGTTCTGAGTATCCGAATGATGAACAAATAGAACAAGTTAGGGAATTGCTAGGAAATGAATGGGATAAGGATCGAATTTATCAATATATATCTCGTCATAGACGTAATAAAAACAATAAACATAAATAATTTATTATATATTACCTTAAATAAACCTGGTCTTTAATAGAAGAAGTCTTCAAGGTTTCATTATATATAAAAAAAATGCCATTTTTCGTTAAAAAGTCCTGTTGTATATGGTTTCTTAAAGTGGTTACGTCAAAAGAACTGCTAAAAACTAAGTTCGTTGGGTACTTTTTTTTTGATTTAAAAGTTGGTAGCAAAAGAATCTCGGGCTTTAGTGTCAAAAATAGGTAAATTTCCTGATAGGATAAAATTTCGCAGGAAAGCAGGGAGGGCCAAACTTTTACTTATTTTAATAGAAGAAATGTTGTTGAAAAAAGTTTATCAAGGGTGAAGAACGATTATATTGTGGCTTAGAACGAAAGTCTTTAATGGAATATCTTGAACGAATGTTACACAATAATTTTTAATATGATCGGCAATGTAAAATGGACATGCACACTGACTGATATCTTATGCAAAAATAATTTATTTGTACCTTAGTCTAAAAAATACGCATGATCCTATTTGAGCTGCATAAAAATAATTTAGTTTAATTTGATTTACAGTTATGGATATTCATTTAAATGACAGGATAATATCATCATTTTTAACCTGTTAAAAACTTGATTTTTAATGAACCCCAAATCTATGCTAAGCTATGTCGAGTATGCATACCATTTTAATAATGTAGTGATAAAAAAAGTTCATTATCAAGAACTTTTTTGACTTTTTAAATGGGATGTAACAATAATAATATTTTTTTTTTTGAAAAAATCGGAGAATTTTTCCTTCTTTTTAACCGAAAAACAAAAGCTTTCGGGTATTCGGTTACTTATGTAATTTATTATATTTGATTTTACAAATATAATAAAATATATATATGAACGACCCTTTTTATACATTCATTTATGAGATGTGATAATATCGAGAATTTTCTTTTTTTTGTTTATTTTTATTTTTTTTGAAACACGCCCCTATGTTTGTGGCTTGGTTCCTTGTTATTTATTTCAAAAATAAAAAACAAAAATAACAAAAGATAAAAATACTATAAAGGGAATTATATATAATTATCAAATATTTAATGAATAATACAACTTTTATCATTCAAATACAAAAATTTACAACAAAACTACTTTAAGTAAACCATACTAACTAATTATGAGATTGTCAATATAATAAGATGAGACGGAAAAAAATTTTTATGGTAAGGCGGTTTTGTTTACAAGATCAAATAATTCAAAATTTGTGTAACTCTTCAAACACTCGTATTTTAAACTTTATATAAAAATAAATTATAAAAATGAATATAAAAGCAAAGATTTCACAAACAAAACTTTTTCACAAAATCAACTGATTTTATAACATTTAGCAATGGATAATAATTATAATAATCTAAACTTTATTGATGATGGTGATTTACGACCGCAAACAACTGATTCTCAAACAAATGTTTACGATAATAACAATGATTGTCCCATGATGACCAATACATCTGCAAACGCTACTGCGTCTTCGCATTCTTACCCTATCACCTCATCAGATTCCCCACGTCCCTTACCGCAACAACAAATTCAACAACCTGTTTATCAACAAAATATTGAAAATAACATTCAACAACCATTCTCCAATATTACTCAGCCTATTCCTCAGAATGTACCGCATTACATTCAAAATAATTATTTACCGTTCAATCCTCCTCAAATTAACCATTCTGGAATTATTCCGTTGGAATTTCCCGGGATCAAAATTATCATTATACCTACTTTTCCTCCAATGACTAATTCTTCTCAAATTAATCATCCCGGAATCTTTACAATTGACATTCCTGGATCCAAAGTTATAATTATCACACTTTGATTAATTCCTTTAAATTGAGCCTTTCCGAAATCTTTATATTTTAACATTTTCATATTCATTTTGATAAGTTTACTCATTATCATAAGTTTAAGTTTATTATTTTTTTTTTATTTTTGTTATATTTTTATATATTTTTATTATAAAAGGTCGCCGGAGTTATCTTAATCATGTGTAATCAATTATATACGGTTAATATGATCTTCACATTTATACATACATAGTTTACTATATATAGAATACATACCAAATTAGCCTATTTGACGTTATATTACAAATTAGGCCGCTACCCAAATTTTTAAAATAAATAAGCATATGATTATGATATGTCACGTGACTTTATAGTATTGTAAAACACAGAATTAACGAAAACTTTAAATATGGTTTAAGTGCAAATTTGGATTCGTGTGAAAAATTTCATTTATGTCAAGTTAGATTTACGTTAAAAGAGCTATATACCCATTATGTCAAAGTTGTAAAGATAAAGGATATAATTGGCCGACAAGAGGAGAAGTTAGATAGATAAAACAATAAAATCAATTTTTATTAATAAATTATTCAATAAATTCTGTTTACAATAATATAAGTTTATATACTTATTTTTTGATACTCTATTAAATTGGAGTGGCCTTGCAATTTTTTTTTTCTAAATTAACTAATTCCAATGCTTCAGCTTCATCAAGTGCCTTTCTGGTTGCAGCTTCTTGAGCAAAAATTTGGAGTTCGCGCACTTTAAGAAATAATTTTCTTTCTTCTATAACAAAATATTATTATGTTCACATTGTTTAGATCACTTTAGAGTCTCTATTCGATAAAGGTTGCTTTTCTTTTTGTTGGGAACCTTCAGCTTTAACATTACTAGTTGAATTAATTAATTGGAATTTTCTTATTTTTACCATTTCGTGCGCCTAAATATTGTTTAAATAATGATCGCGCATCTACAATTTATTGAGATATTTTTTTTTTTTATACTCATATTCATTTATATTTTTTTTTGTAGTTTACTAAGAACAATAAACGTAAATGATGGGCGTGATATACGTGATATATACAGGCCCTAGCGAAAATAATGGCGGTCGGTTTTTTTGATATCATGAATAAAATTATAGTAAAAAATTTTTTTACTTTCTGAAAGAGGAACAGAAATACATGTATTTCATTACTTTAATCAATATCATCTTCAGTGTCCATAAATGCTTCAATTTACTATGGTGCCGTACTCTTACTAACGTTCTTTTAATATGTTTTTTTAATATTTTCTCAATTTTCTCGCCATCCAGAGGTCCATTGGATTCCCTATAAAAAAAGAATGTCTGAAATGTCGTCGAAAATGTCCAGAAAATGTCCAGGAGAGCTCAGACCTGGTGTCAATTTTCTGGACATTTTTCATTTTCCGGACATTTTTTGATCCTTTTCTTAGATGAAAAAGAAAAAACTCGGTAATGACAATTTCCAGATATTCCTTTTTTATAGGATTCTAAGTTCAATTTTAATGTAAAAAATGGGGATAACATTTTGTAGTATAGCAAAACTCAGTTATAGTATAAGGTAAATAAAAGTAAGTAGTTTTTTTTTAAAAAAAAATTGGGGCGAATTATTATGTAAGTTTTCGATTATAAGAAAATTTATAGAAAATTACTTATTCTAGTCTTATTCTCCGATTCATATTAAATTATAACTTTCTTGGTTTTTTATAGGGCAAAAAAAACCCTAGAAAACGCAATGTTCATAAATTATACACGTAAAATCATATATTGCGGTTCATCTATTATACAAAAAATTGTTATATGTCCATTACTTATTCCAATAGAATTTCCTGTTTAAAAAGAATTTTTATTGAAAAAAAGAGAGGGGGAGAGGCCAAAAATAATTTACAAAATTTTTTAAATTATTTTTTACTATTAAAATTTTCAAATTGTTCCGGCCTTAAGCATATTTTATTTCATATAATATTAATATAATATACGTGAATAAGTGTAAAATAAATAATAAATTTTATCTTTTTTTATTTCTTTTAAAGAAGTATTCTGGGGATCTACTTGTTAATTTAAACAGGAAAATGGAAAATACTGATCCTATATCCAAAAAGTATACACATATACTTTTCTTTGTAGATGTACAGTAATAGTATTTCCATATTCATATGTTTATGTAGTATCTAAAACTTTTTCGTAATACAAATTCTAATTAAATTATTCTTTGAATTTTTTAGAGTTAAGTATTGTGTAATTATCTGCATGCTAATGTATACATAAATAAATAAAATGATTGACAAAAAGTGAAAAGTAATTCCAACAATACGATTGGCAAAAGTAAAAAAACTGCCACTTTTTTGGTCCAGTAGTATTTAGTTCCTTAAGCGATCGGCGAACGCCAAATTTTGCGTGACAAATTTGGCGTCTTTAACCTATTTTGATATTTACTGTGTCACCTGTATAGGATAAACAAAAAAAAATAAATTTATATGTACTTAACGTTAGAGAAAAATAAAAAATATAAAAAGAGCTCATTTCCCAGCTCTCATAGTTCATAATAATAGATACATCAGCAAGCAAACAGAACCTTTCTTCCACCTAAAATCCATTTATAAACTCTATTAACAAATGGACAATAATTTCAACTTTATTAACGATGGATTTAACAGTGATTTACGACCTCCGACTACTGATTCTCGAGCAGAAAATCCAAATGCTAATTACAACGCTTCCTGCAATTACAACAGTAATAACAATTATCCCACGATGGATGATAACGTCTCCTCAGCATCTTATACCAATACATCTGGTAACGTTACTATGTCTTCGCAATCTTACCCTACCACCTCATCAGATCCTCCACACCCCTTAGTACCGCAATATACTCAACAACAAATTCAACAAGTCCAACAACCTATTTGTCAACAAAATGGCGAAATTAATAATATTCAACAACAATTCCTCAATACTACTCAGCCTATTACCCAGAATGTACCACATTTCATTCAGAATAATTCTAATTCTTCATCGTTCAATACTTCTCAAATTAACCATTCTGAAATCCTTACATTTGAAATTCCTGGGATCAAAATTATCGTCATACCTACTTTTCCTCCAATGTTTAATTCCTCTCGAACAAATCATTCTGAAATCTTTACATTTGACATTCCTGGGTCTAAAGTTATCGTTATCACACTTTCTTTCCAATGATTAATTCTTTTAAATGAGCCCTTTATATTTAACATTTTTCAGGTCTTAACTTATTCATTTGATAAATTTACTCACAAAATAGATTGTGTATTATCATAGTTTAAAATTTTTTTATTTTTTATTTCATTCTTTTATTATTATTTTTACTTCATTCCTTTATTTTTCTTTTTACTTCATTCTTTTATTATTCTTTTTATTTCATTCCTTTATTATTCTTTTTATTTCATTCCTTTATTATCTCCATTTGTAAGTGGAATTAAGTTTTTAAATAAAGTATTTGTAAAATCACATTTAATATTTATGAAAAAAGTACCCTTCAAAGTGTCTTATTTCTAAGTTACTGATCCATTTATCAGTGAATATAAAAAGGTGGGATCGTTGTTTTCACTTTTTTAAAAAAAAGAAGAAAGGAAAATGTAAAAAAAAATGCCAAAAAAACCTTTTGGTATTTTTAAAAACTTTTTTTTTTGTAATTTACTACGTATATCACGCCCATCGAAGTATAGAACCTTGTCGTCATCATAAAGCCTATGCCCTAGTAATAATAGCTTTTATTCATTTTAACTTCTTGATATAGTTATAGATAATAATATTAATATCGTGCGACCTTCTCCCATTTATTGCTATATTAATTTCAAAATTAAAATTAAAAAAAATAAAAAGATAAAAGTATCAAAAATCTGTATGTAATATATTTCTTTTATAAAAGTAATAGCAATAATTTATAAGGTTAAATATTTACATATTTTTAAATATAATTAATAATACAGTATCATATTTTACTTTCATTAAGAGGTTGTCCTTTCCAAGTAATATCTGGAGTATAATTATGAGGATGTTTTACTCATTAAACCTTTAAAGAACACCATTTGTAGTAAGTTAAATTATAATTTTTTAATAATTTAATTGTTCAAATAACATATTAACTGAAGGTATTAATTGAATTTCACTTGCCATTAGCCTGGAAATTGGACTTACAAGCAAAGATGGGAGTGTTAATATAAACATTACTTTATCATGAAGCGATTTTATTTTGTCCTGTTTGTGGTTACACAATGCTCATTGACTCACGTGTATTGCAAGCTAAAATATATTTGGAAACCAAGACCTGTGAACATAATCATGTTATAAATCATGTACGACTTTACGAGCGAGGAATTTACCTATATAGTAAGTATCAGCGAAATCTATTGACTTGATGGTACCATTTTGTTAAATATTGGCTTAAGCATAGCTAGCCGTTCTCCTCCAAATAAGTATAAATTTCAATATTGTAAATTTGTGATTATTTATTTTGATAGAGCGATTAGTATATTCACTTCCATTCATAAATTCCTATTTTAAAGTATATATAGTATGTGTATACCATTTACCAGTAATATGCTATCCAAACTTGAGAAGATGTTCTCTTATCCAACAATTGCATTCTTGTTCTTCAAAGGAATTGCATTCTTGCTTTTCAAAGCCAATTTTCGCTTTTCCATCATTTTTTGATGATAAGCAAAAAGAAGGTATTTTGTGGAACATAACGTGGAAAAATTTACGGAGAGATTTCCGAGACCTAATTTTACCAAACTTTATCTATTGTTATGTCAAATTCTATCATTTTTTTTCATGTGACAATGATGTAACAATTTGATCAGTGTTACATTATCATGAAGCGCCGTACTGTTCAAAAATCCCGGGTAGTTCTAACTTGTAGATGTTTGTGGGTAAGTGTTTGCACGAGCTATTTTGGTATTAATATCATAATTAGCGATGTCATATTAAGATATAGCTGCTTCAAGTTCTGAGAGTATATTAAATTATATTAAAAGTATACGTACTTTTTCGGAAATTGATAATGATAATGCCATGATTGTAAATGTGGAAGTCTTACCTAAGAAAAATTTACACTCCAGCAAAATTCACAAGTCTCGTGACGGATCCTATACTCAACCCACATTCTCTGAAACAATCCTTGGTTGAGCCAAGAAAGCCACAGCCGGCAATTTTTGCCTTGATAATAATCCTCAAGTCATTTTCGTCAAGTTTCAAGTCCTTCTAAAAATTAACAAGTTCTTTTGGTTCATATTATTTTTTAATCTCGCCAACGAAGAAGACTCAGATGTTAATTTAAAAAGATGGATTAAAAGTCTATCAATATTGGATAAAAAAACTACCAATATTAGAATAAAAAGTCTATCATTATTACATAGTTAAAAAAGCATATTTAAAAGTTTTATGGTCGGAACCATGATACCTTTACGACTTTACCTGTCTATGACTTGCAATCCTAGTCCAAATTGTGTCAGGTAGTGTCGAATTATTAATTTTTTTGGTAAATTGATTTTTTTTTGTCTTGGTTATATTATATAGCTATATTGCATTTCATAAAACTCAAATTGATATGTATAATATGTTTCTTTTATTTTTAGGTTTAAATTTTTTGGATAAAATAATAAAATATTTTTCAAAGAATTAAAAATATATATTACAATACATAAAAGTAATTGGATCCGTTCTAACTTCTAAATATGACAATTGTTTGATTATGATATCGGATTTTATAAAAGCGCTTTTAAAATTTCTTTTAAAAAAATGTGTTTACATAATATAATTTTAAGGCAAATAAATGACTTTGTAAACACAAATTTTGCAAAAAATAACTTAAACGTGAACTTTCTAATATAGAACATTGTGACTGCAGTTGTTTCGTCAACAATTTAATAATAAATTATTGTTTTTAAAACTAATGCAGTATGCATTGTTATAATTACGCAGCAAAATGAATAATAATTAGATTATTTTTCATGTTTTTTTCTCAAATCAGCTTTCTAATATTTCATGGAGTGAAAGTTCTTTTTAGAGGACACAACCAAACTTTTTAAAAGAATTCTGATTAATTTTTAACTCGAATAATTACGGCGGTGTATCAGGATAATTATTGTAGTATCGTAGTACAACAGAATATAGTATACCGTATACGGTGTAGTGTGTACATTATACAAGAAACTTTAATGGTATATCATGCAAAATAAAATAAGCAATGAATATTTAAACAATTAATATGCATTAATTCCAACATTCCAACAATATTACTTTATAACTATTATGAGTAAAAAAAATTTGAGCTTTGTTAAAAAAAATTAATATCTTTTTATCAGAAAAATTATTTGCATAAATTCTTTAAGCAAGTTTTCTTAGACGATCAATAATTCAATATTCTAATGATTTAGCCAGTTCCGATGACATCAATTCTGTTCCTCTTCAGGCAACGTTTTCGCTATTCTGCTACTAACGTTGTGAAACAATAATAGAACAATTTTTTCATCATCCATCACTACTTCAAAATCCTTTTCTTTGGTTTCTTGTGGTTCAAAAGTTGAGATATTAGTTGAATTGATATCGACAAAATATAACATTAATTTGTCATGCTTTTTATAGTAAACAGGATAAAAAGTAAGTGGTAGTGTTGCTTGAGTACCAAAAGCTTCCAATATTTCAATAGATACTATCTTGTTATTGGCGTCATAAGATACTATAATTCTTTCATTGTTGACATTATTAATAGATTTTACACCGCCGGGGGAAACTTTTGCAAAGTAGATCAATAACGTATCCGTATCTTCATAATCTTTGTAACTTATGTCGTTTCTTATACTAAAAATCAAAAATCAATGTAGAAATTTCAAAATATATATAATGTATATAATGTAAAATTTAAAAATATATTTATACGAACCAGATTAAATGATCTTCAATCTTAAACGAATTATGTTCTTTGTTCTCATTAGTATTTTCTACAACGTCAGGTGAAGCTTTTGCAAAAGGTAATTTATCCGTATCCTCATTATATTCGCTATAAATTAATGTAGAAATGTTTTTATAATTTAAATAATGTAACATTTAAAATATATATTTTATGCTTAAAATCATACGCACCAGATTGAAAGATCTTCGATCTTAAGATTGGTTTGTGTATTATATTCCTTCAAATTTTTTGTTTGAATTAAAATAAAATAATGAAATATGAAGCAAGAATAAAATTAACCTTATAAATCATACCTTCTTTGGAATATTTGAATTTTTGTTTTCAGTTAATTTTTCCATAGTTTCTTGTATACTTTGAGTATAATAATAAGTTACAATCGTCCAAGGGACAACCCTAATATCAATGATTACACAAAGGAGTGTTCCTAAAATTATACTTTTGATTACTTTATTATAAGGTCTGTAACCTCTATACTCTACAATGTATGGGTTATTTACTCTTTTATATTCGAGTAATAAGTTTTCAATTTGTTTTGGTGTAAAAAGGGTTCTTTGCGTGTATGTGTGTACTTTAGCGTTTTCTGTCCAATTGAAATTTAAAAATGTTTTTTCTAAAAATGATGCCCATTCTCTTAAATAATTTGTTTGGAGATGATTAAGAGTAACATCATCATCTACCAAATCATCCATTTCTTCAGGTAAATCAAAAAATTTTTGTGTTTCTACTGTTGTACCTTCTAATTTCTTTTTAATTATAAATGGTAAGATGTTATAGTCAGTCATTCACATTCAATTAACAAATTGATTTAATTCTGAAAGTTATAATAAAGATGTACATGATATATATATATATATTATAAATTAACTTTGACTCATCACGTGCAAATATAACAAGCGTGTTATAATATAATTAGTCGGTGAGTCATATGTATCCAAATCCACCAAACGCAATAAAATAATTAACTAAAAAAAGGTTACTCCTGGTAGTCATTTCAATTTTTAGATTGATAATTAAATAATATAAAAAAAAATTAGTCAAAAATCAGTTCAATAGAGAAAATGATGTATCGATTAGATTATCAAGTTTTTATGGGTCATTAAAAAAAAATTTTTTTTTTATTAATTTAATGAGAAATATTATGCTGTGATAAATAATTTTAAATAATTTCAATAATTATGGATGGCACGTGATTTAAAACAAGATGTTTCAAAACAATTTAAATCAGTATTGAAACTTTTTTTTTGTAAAACATTGATTGGCATGATTATTATAATAGCGTGGTCGAAATCACTGATATATGTGAATTTTTTAAGGCTGTGGACGTAGGATAAGTAAAATGACGATTACATAAGGCGGGGATCGACACACTTGAAAAAAAGGAGTGTAAAATGTTTCTAGAGTGGCCACACGATGGAAGGGAATTTAGCTACCCCGAAACCGCAAATACCGGCTATAACACCGCGGAACTTATAATCCTCGCACTTATCCTAGCAGTAATCATAGCCTGTACATGCAAGTGGACACGACGCCAGTAAACACATTTTGTCGTGTCAAGAGTACTACCCTGTTTATTCAAATATTCTAACTTAGTAGCATGTCAGACAAATACATCGAGTGATCATTCGGGTAAATAAGGTCCCTTAGCCCCGTCAGCTGTCGTACTACACCATTGTAAAATGACGATTCCATAAGGACCTGATCGACGCCTCGAAAAAATAATAAAAAGAGCATGAAATGGGTTTTTCTTACCCTGTTCCCATGGAACTTATAAATTTCATATTCGCTGTTATTGTAGCGGTACTTCTCGTCATTATCCTGTGCACAGGCAGGAATGACGTGATGTTTATTCGGAGCAGAAGTGTCTGCGGATTCCGATGGATACGGCACCCGACATAAACGGTAATTACATTTTGTCGTATCATGAGTACTACTTTTTTGTTTAATATTCGGAGACTCGGAGACTAACAAACCGCTATAAGTGTCGGACAAGTTTTCCGTTAGAATCGCCCCTTCTGTTGGGCTGGCGGGCTATATGTGAAACCGACCTTGATTTCACTCTAGGGCAATGGAAACCAGCATATCGATATGATAATATATGACAATAATTATTTATCACGTGATGCAAAACCCGTTAACTAAGTTAACAGGTTTTCCGAAAATTCAGTATGAAAAATATGTATACAAAAAGTAATCATTATGTATTTACAGAATATTGTAATAAATTGAGCTAAATAAGATTTAAGACCTTAATTGCTTATAATATTGTCCATAATTATGTACCGCACTCGGACTTTTTAGTTATAACCGTTTTTTACCATAAATCATATCACGAGTACTACTCTTTTTTAATATCCTGACGCTTTGGCGCACGTCAGACAAATGCGGATAAATACGGATAAATACGGATAAACAAGGTCCCTCAGTCCGACTACCTGTTGCACACCATTGTATAATGCCCGAAAAAAACAGGCTTCATAGGGTAGGATCTACCGCTTAGAATTCTTATAAATAAAGGCTTAAACTAACTTAATTTTCTTCGTCCAACAATGGATACAAACTTAGCGACTCTCGTAATATTCTTTCTTTTAATAGTACTTAGTGTACTCATACCCACTGTTTTCCCCGGCTGTCAACTCAGCCCAAGGGTCAGATGGGACCGCCAAAACGGAGTCGCTCTTGAAGCGGGATTTATGTATGGTAATAAGATTTTCCTATACCGCAAGTACCACTTTTTTATCCAAGTTTCTGAATATATTTATCCCAAACAGCGGGACCGGTTTGAGATCGGCATGCGATACAAAAATCTTCCATTGGGGGACACATATGATGATGGACACCGCACATTTTTTCTTATGATATCATTTTTCGGTGCCATGAATTAAGCATAGGCCTTCAATATCACTTCATGTTACATGAAATCATGTAATCAATAAGCACTATGCTCTAAGCTTTTATTTCGCGAAATAAATTTTTTTAAACAAATCTTATCATAACGTGTTTTATCATATGACGCTTTAATTTGTAATACAGACGACAGGGCATGAGTATATAATGTTCGATAAATGTGTGACGCACAAGTACATTACTAACATCTTTATTAAGTTATCGCATCTCTGCTACGGACTGACCCTGCAGAAAAAAATGAATGTGTCTAATGCTATTATATAGGTTCGCAAAACAGCTTTATACACTAATAACTGCTATAAATTATAACTATGACTATGACTATGAACTATAAACAATGGACCGACTATAATACATCGTTGACTATACAACCTGTAGCCGTACAGGCAAAACATCGTTCTGGGTATGACCTAGATAGGGTGAGGGAAGTAGGTGGATGGGGTATACAGAATAAGTCGCGGTTCATTAACAATGAGAAGGAATTTGATAGACTATCAATTATAAAGCCAGGGGAAACGCTGGAGCAATGGAAGGCACGTGTAATGGAAGAGGTCAAAATCCTAATATCGCGGAAGAGTCATAGCATATACCATAGATTCTGTCTACATGCGAGCTCTGGTGACGTCGAGTCGGATGCCAGTTATTCTGATTATAAACGTCCTGAGACACACAGTAGCCGTGCGGTTATCTGCTTTAAGTGCTGGGAAATATTCCGGCCTAATGATGAGACTTGTGGGAGGACAGCTAAAGACCTCATGCAAGAACATTGGGAAAATGAATGTGGCAGGATTAGGATTAACTACTGCGATCCACTCGTACTCAAGAACTTCTTCAACTCCATGCATAATGATGGTTTGCGCAGAAGACGGCAAGTACAATAAACCGGGGACTATATATTCTAACTTTTTTACGACTGCCCAACCCGAGAGAGAGAGAGAGAGTACCAGAGTCAAGAGGCGGTCTGCAAGATCGTGAACTTTTCTAAGTCCTGTTGGTTAAGTTCTTGCGCCGAGTTGGCATCTTGTACACTGTGGTTGGACATCACGGTCCCTGATCCCAGTCCCGGTGGCAGGACAAAAAAGAGGGATTCCATCTGTAGTCATAAGATGGATAGTATCCGTCTTTCATCTTCCTCGTCCTCTATAAGCTTCAAGAGGTTCCTTTTGTACCTCTTCATCTCTATCTCTGCTATCTTCACAACTTTTCGCAGAGATAGTATCCCTTGAGGTGCTCCCGGAGGTTCTTTATGAGCAAGAACAGGAAGCCCTTTTCATCAAAGTTTGACAGCTCGAGTGCAGCTGTCTCTTTTTGCAACTTCCGCCTGGCTTCCAAGGATACAGCTTTTATGGTAAACCAGATATCTCTCGTGTTACATTGTTTAGCCATTTCTCAAATATTTAGTATATGTAGTCTTGTGTGTCTTTCATTTTTAGTCCATACGAAAAAATAAGTCCAACCGGCGGTAGTATCTGGCAGGACAAAAAAGAGGGATTCCATCTGTAGTCATAAGATGGATAGTATCCGTCTTTCATCTTCCTCGTCCTCTATAAGCTTCAAGAGGTTCCTTTTGTACCTCTTCATCTCTATCTCTGCTATCTGCACAACTTTTTGCAGAGATAGTTCCCCCTCAAGGTACCCCCAGAGGTCCTTTATGAGTGAGAGCAGGAAGCCCTCTTCATCAAAGTTTGACAGCTCGAGTGCAGCTGTCTCTTTTTGCCACTTCTTCCTAACTTCCAAGAATACAGCTTTTGTGGTAAACTTGATATCTATCGTGTTATATTGTTTAGCCATTTCTCAAATATTTAGTATATGTATTCTTGTGTGTCTTTCATTTTTAGTCCATACGAAAAAACAAGTCCAACCGGCGGTATCCAATATATACATTATTTGACGCGAGAAGAGGGCAGATAATAAATATGCATTTCATCTATTTTGTTGCTCTGTATTTACATGCGGACTACTAACCATATCTATTAACTGTTGTACCTTGTAATCCAAACTGTGGAGTCTGTGATACACCCCTTGCATGAATCCCTCGACATCCCATGAAGACTTGAATATGATCATTAGGTCTGCGTCCTAAAACGCTTAATGGCTGTCTATTGTTTAACCGTCGTCCAGACCCTAGCTCAGGTGGATCTTTTCTTAGGATGTCAGCCTCGTCGACAGGAATGGATATTTTCCATATGGAGTACTTCTCTGCTTCATTGGCGTCTTTTCCCTTCATGATTAATATCACCCGTTTCAAATAATCGATAGTACCTGTCTCAACAACTTCGACCTCGAAAGGTTCGTTTTCACCCTGAAGGAAACATACGAGCTTTAACGGGAGCATTTTGTGTTAACAGATATCAGAGGTATTTTACCGAATTTATTGTTCATTTTCATGGTCAGACCAGAGATATATATACTTTTTACCGCGGTGATCATCATGCCAGAGCCACCGTCCTGAAGGGGTAAAAAGGAGCTCCTGTGGAACTGGGAGTAAAAATAGACGATTACAGCAGAATACATGACGAAATGGTTATATGACAAATGATCGGCTATACAGGTGCAAGACAGGGGCTTAGTACACGGTGATTTCAGCCGGGGGCCCCGGCCAAAATTCGGAAGAAATCGGAAAAACCGTTAACCAAGTTAACGATCGGGAAGTTTCGGAAAACCTGTTAACTTAGTTAACGGGTTTTGCATCACGTGATAATTCAGAAAAACCTGTCCGCGGAATCTCGCAGCTGGAATGCGCAGTATAGACTATACATTCCCGATTCAGCTAGTCCGGGTCGGTCACACCGTATATATACAGTACGACCGTCTTAGTCTTTTTTCGAAAAAATGTTTTTCAACAGCATTAGTAATAAGAATTACATGTTGTGGATGCGTGGAACCTCCGCAATTCCGAGATCTACATGAGCTAGTCGACTTGCGTATATGACACCATGTCAAAAGGATACAATTTACCGTAAGCCGAGGGGTCTCTGAAGGACAAGGTCATTAACCGCAGTGATTAACAGATTATTTGTCGTATAACAGGTTTATCGTGGGAAAGGGGGACTGAAAATTGAAGTATAAATACGATGAACTAGGATCTGGGTATTGAGTTGAAACAAAAAATGGCTGAAGTCACTCTTCTGTGTTTTCTTCAAGGCTTAGAGGAACCATTTAGGATTACAATCGACAAAACCGATACGATTGAAGAGTTTAAAGAGTCGATTTTACACAGGGCGAGAAAGGCCATTGGCGAAAAAAATATCTCAACGGATGGGTTCGAAATGTGGGAGGTATCCGTTCCCATTAACGAAGTTGATATTTTACGAAAGGATAGACCCGAGTTAAAGGGCGGTAAACCACTTAAAGACAAACCGAATTTAACGTCCATTGGAAAGGTTATCGATAATTATATCCAGGTCTTCATTGGAAATCCTGATTTAGCGGTTATTCCACCCAGCTTGGAAAGCATAGACGATAGGGTTCGAGAATTGGAGAAAACATTCGAAAGTTTAATCTATGAAGTTAAATGTAGGAGGGATCGTAATTTCTAGGTCTTTCAACACTCGCACTTTGGTACTAACTGCTTGTTTTTTTTCAGACGAAAGATTAGATGAGGCGGCGGATGTAGAACTTCGCGCTATTAGGGTAAACGATGAGTTCTGGATAAAAAAGGATTATGTTCACAGTAATACACAACTACAACATATGAAAAAACCCGTCGATGTTAGATGTAGAGTGATGAACGTTGGTAATACCGGAAGGTTAAAGGTGATTCTTCTCAGAGAAGATGCTGGTATAGAACAAAAAACGGTTTCTTCGTTATTATCGCTTGAAAAATGGTTACTTGATTGCTTTGGGCTACCTATAATGTATAGGAACAAGAGTGATAAACATCTTCGTGATTATCTCAAAGTCGAACGCGGTGGAGTGAATAAAAGTTTTAAACAGCTTTACGAGGATTATATAAATAATCCCTGAAAAGATATCATTCGTAGTTATTTAATCAGCGCTGTTTCGGATACCGATTTATGTTATTAAATAAAGCATTGTTATAAGACTGCTTGTTTCTTAGTCGTTATTTTTGCTTGTATGATGTTCTTGATAAATGACACGAGTGATGCTCGTCCATGTGACTAGCCGCAGCACTTGTGTTCGTCATTACACCGCAGTAGAAAGGATGGTCCGTACACATTCCCGATTCGCTGGTCCGGTCGACGATCACATTGAATATTCGATAGTTCTGTACGACAGGGGCCATTGATTCCGTATATATTCACAGTACAACAGTCTTACAGTCTTTTTTCTGAAGAAATACAAAAAATGTTTTTCAGCAGTTGTAGGCGGGTGTGCGGGTGAAAACTTTGCAATTGCCGAAATCTACAGCTTGTGTATATAACACCATGCTAAAAGGGTATAATTTGCCGTAAGCCGAAGGGACAAGGTCATACCGCAGTGACGTGAAACATTAACAGGTTTGTCGTGGGAAAGGGGGACTGGAAATTGAAATATAAATACGACTACACACTACCTTCAAGGATGGGTTTGCACGTATACGAAGAAAATTCCGCATCTCCCGCTGAAATGACCAAAATTACTTTTAACTGTATCGTTAAAGAATCTCCTGAGAACATTTTTAATGTTACCGTTAATAAGAAGGAAAATGTTCTCGACCTTAAGGACGCAATCAAAGAAAAATTACTGGATACATTTCGTAAGGTAGATACCATCGGTATTACAGTATGGTTCGTGGAAATCGAACAAGATGATAAGAGGCTAGAGCAACTCAAAGAGGAAGACAAATCCGTTGTAGATGTGTTTTCCGGAGAAAAAGAAACATGCGAGGCCAAACAAGTGCTTCTTCCAGTTGAACACTTTCTTAAGGACTTTAGAAATGCTGGCGACAGCAAATTCATTCATGTTATTGTTCAAGGTAGGCGTATAGTCCTTCGACATCTTAGAAATTCACAATAATTTTTGCCAGTTCTACTAATAGCGTCAAATCTAATTCAGGCATAGAAAAGTGGTGTTCTACATGCGATATCTCATTTAGGGATAACGATCTTTTGGCTTATCATGAATTCGATTATAATCACATTATTCATTCTGGTGGAATCCCAAAACCTGTAAAAAAGCGGGCCAAGGGTAGGAAGCGTGAAGACGAAATCGATGATGATGACGATGAGGATGAAGAAGATGAAGAATTATCCAATGATATGAACCTTTAAGATTATTTGCATCTCGGTATATTCACATTTTTTGTATGCTATAAGCCGGCGCCCGGGCCCGGCAACGATTTATTTTATTAAATAAAGCATTATTATACCCGGTTCTAGTTGAACCTCTGTTCTTAACGAGTACTTGATAAATGTCGCGAGCGATGCTGTCCACGTAACCATAGTTTGCTTGCGTCACTGCCATCCCGCAGTGCGATTCGGTTAAAATTTCCGCAGTATGAATAAGGCCTTGTTTTACAGTTGACGACTTTTCCGACGAACTTCGGCCAGCTTTGCCTTATGCATATAATCTATTACTCGACCATGTGACTAACCGCAGCACTTGCATTCGTCCTCGCGGACATTACACCGCAATAGTAAGGATAGTCCGTATTCATTCCCGATTCAGCTAGTCCGGACGACTATCACATTGGATATTCCTTACCAAAATCGATAGTTCTGTACGACAGGCTTACGTATACCATTAATTCCGCGTGGAACCTCCGCAATTCCGAACCGCAGTGTCGTGGAACATTAACAGGTTTGTCGTGGGAAAGGGGTTGTGCATTATAAATATGCGACTTTATTCACCGTGGGCAATAAATATAGAAATACAGAACTATGCCGGACATCGAACTGACTTGCCGCCTTCATAAAAAGTCGGGAAAGCATGTCATTCGAGTTAATACTGGGGATACTGTCGACTCCCTGATAGGGGTGGTTAAACGGGCATTTGGATGTGATGAAGCCAGAGACATAGTACTGTGGAAGACTGAAATGCCCAACGAGTTAGAGGACGCATTTACGAATCTCATTCTTGCTGAGGGCGATAATATGACAAGACTCACAGCAGGGATATTAACTAGATTCTGGGGAGAAGGTCGACTTCTTGAAGATCATACTCACGTCATTATAGATTCGCCCACCTTGGAGAAGAACGCGGAGTTGCGGAATAAAGATAATGAAATAGATAAATTGTGTGGAGAATTGGAATTATATTCAGACGAAAACGCAAGTGACTATATAATTACAGATAATTCTCACTCTGGGGAGGGATATCTTAAAGACCTGTGTTATGCGAAAATTATTAGGATAAACGATGTGTTACGAATAAAAAAACGATATAAGAATATAAATGTCCATATCCAGTGCAAGGTGACCAATTTTGATGATGGTATGCTCTCCGTGATGCTCGACCGTAATGAAGAACAAGAGAAAGGATTTTTTTCATTAGCGCAACTTGAGAAATGGCTAGTTGAGCATAGTCTTGATGCTGAGGATATACATAATATATCATACGAGCATTCCGGTGACAATATTGAAATTATTCGTAATGAGAGATTACTTGGATCTATAAGAACGCGAAGAAATTGTTATATCTATAATCAGAAAAATCGCAAAGATTCTGCGAAATTGGAATCGAAACAGGATGCAGACTTATCTGAAACATTGAGCCGTTTAAGTATAACAGGTTTGTGTAATTCGACAAATTTGAACTATAAGTCCCGATGTGATTAGTTAATTCGGAATGGCCGTAATTTCAGATGGCACAGACCGCGATTCCTCAATCGATTCTGAAAGCATCACCGTGTCTGTTTTTGACCAGTATGAAACTGGCGATAATCGGTCAGACACTTTATCTCATGTATATACGCCTGAACAAGTACGAACATATCTTAAAGAATTCGGTTTCGATCAAAGTGATGCGGAAAAATGGGACCAACCCATCGAAGTTCCTATTGGTGTTGATACAAGTCTCTGGATAGCTCGAGAAGCTGTTATTTATGGTCTGAAATTCGAAGCTATTAGTCTTTACCCAGAGTTGATCGACTATGCTAGAGGGTTTGGGGAAATTCCCGATTTTGTAACAACTAAATATCAAATGGTTGATACCAATCGTCTCGTAACGGGGGGAGATATTCATGAGCCATTCCCTAAAAGTTTAGGAATAATTAAGTGGCAACTTCAAAAAGGCCTTGGGGGCCTTGACGAAATACTCGGCCTTATAGTAAAGGAAAAGAATATTACTACCCACGACTTACTTTATCGTGGAGTTCGCGCATATGGGCTAATCCCTGACGATATTTCATATGGTTTTTCTGCAAATTCATTAGACTGTGATTTTGGACGGGGACTCTATACCACTCCAAGCATTGAATATGCTATCAAACATATAAAAGATTGCGGAAGTATCAGAGTTGGTGCATTGATGGTTTTCGATTGGAAAGATCATGGAGGGCGGGGTTTAGAAACTAAAAGGTTAGAAGGTGAAGAGTGGACTGGGACAGTTAAGGCATGTATTTGTAATAGAGATACTAATAATAAAAAGCGAGGACCGCTTCGTCTTAGTGGAGATATTTTGGTTGGGGCAATTTCCAGTAATAATGAGGCTGTTGGAAAATGTGCCACTCCAATCCCTTCTAATGATAAACAAGTTGTTGGTAGAACTCAAAAAGGACTTAAAGCCTTTGAAAATCGGTTAATGGCTATAATTTATCTATTTAAGTGATTCATGATGCAGAAGGTCATTGGCGCTTTTCGATCCTTTAATATTTATTAAAACGTGTAACCGCGTGCCACGCACGTAAAAAACATAATAAAATCTATTTTTTGAATCATGTGAGAATAAGTCACGAACAGGACCGCAGTATCACGTCATCGATATCATATGTAAAATATGCCGCAGTATACACGCTGACTAATAAACGTTTTCCTGCGGTCCTGAAAGTTCTAGCATAAATGTTGCGTAGCGTAAATTACGCCATGAGTCATCAATTTTGTTATACCCCTGATTTGCGATTTTAGAATGCTGTGATACCGTCGATCGATTTCTAATGCATTATAAGGCGATCGAAGTTCACTTTAGTAGTCACGCGGTTAAATTTGTACGTGTAGATCCAGAACCAAGTCGTACTGTTCATACAACGACTCCCGGTCCTCCGGTGGTCCTCCGGTCTATATTTCAGTCATACAATTCTATGGCGGACTATGGGGTACGGCTGTGGGACTATGACGAATACTGACCGCATGATGATCGCTGCTGGTTCGATCAAACTTTGAATGGGGATACCATGTGACAATACTTACATCATTCCAGAATCATGTGATCGGTGACTTCATCATTTGCGTAATCCCTGCTGCGGATTATTGTTATCCTTCTACGTCAGCCCTTACAATGCATGGATGAACGTATTCGGGAATCAGGGTAAGTGACACAGGGATGATCCTGGCCTTCATGTTGTGGCCACCTGTCCTCTGGTTCCGTACTGTCTTTTTTGGTGGTAGTGGAATAGATACTGGCTGGTGAGACTCCTGGAGGGGTGATCTAGATACTGCGAGGCCATTAGAAGATCTTACCTGGATGGATAACGAGTGGAAGGGCTATGGAAGACAGTACATGGTACGTATTTTTCCCTTAGGCCCGTAAGCGAAATTTGCCAAGAAATCTCCGAGACGGGCCGTCCCGGAAAATCAGATAGTCGTTAAGTCATGCCCCTGAGGGCGTTCTAGCAGAGGAGCCAGGTAGAAAATTAGTCATGTATCACGTGATTCAAACCCGTTAACTTAGTTAACAGGTTTTCCGAGAATCGGAGCAGTCTATTAATAAAACATTCACTCGAAAACACGCATACACGTTTTTTTAAGATAAAAAATTGATTTTATTCTTATGAAGTAGTATATGATAAAGAAACTGGTTGCTATGCAAGAATAAAAAATAGAGCGGATAGCGGGTGTTTCAAGGGAGGAATAAAGCATAAAATATGCCTGCCCGCCCCTAGACGTTTGCAAAAGCAATAATGGCAGTTCCTTCCCGCTACGCCGAATTGCTATCTAAATTTTCGTTATTTTTACTATCTACCCATAAACCAATATCATCTAATGTACTAATGTAACCATCACTCTTTGTAATATTTCTCTCATAAAACCCCTGAATCGTATTCTTTTTGATTTTCCCTCCAAGTGCACGAATTTCCGTTGCAACGTGAAGGCACATCTCTTCCGAATTAAGTCGTTTTTCGTCCCTTATTTGGTCGAAGAGTTGCTTGAATCGGGTCCAGACAGTTAAGCTAATGCCTCTGAATATTATTGCACTAGAACCTGCAAATACGAATTATAAGTTATGGATACACTTATATAATGATAAATTCCGGATAGCTTACCAGAACTGGAGGATATACTTGCACGTGACTGACTTGACGGGCTTGCCATGCTCAGCTGATCAGTTTCGATTGGCTGAATTCTTCGGGTGACAGCAAGCGTATAATGTCGAATCATTTTATTCTGGAGAGCTTCAATCGAAGAATTGATAGAGTTTATTTCAGATGAAATTCTGCCAAAATCATTACGGCGGGCTTCTTCGATGATATTAAGTCTAGCTGTTATGTGGTTAAACATTGATAAGATTTTCTGCGCCTCTGTGGCGTAGAACGCATCACGTGCAGAGATTCCATCGGAGATTTTTCGATTAAGGAATTGCCACATGGTAGCGATCCCTATGAATATCGCTGCACTAACGAGAAAAAAAGTAGCGGGTATGACCCAAAATGGCACGCTTCCCGAAGAGCTGAATGATGGGCCCTTTCCCCCTAAAGAAACCTGTTAAACTGGCCATTATTTGATAATTCATGAGATACGCAGTAAAATTTATTGTTTGTTTACTTGGTCAGAAATTTTTAGAGAATAACAGCTAAATGTCTATCACAGTTGGAAAATAAGGCTATTTTATACTTTTTTGAAGGACGTTCTACGTTTGTGTTTCTTTATTAGTAAAATAACTGTAAATATACATCACGGCGATTTGTAATACAGTATATGGTAAAACAATGTATTGAGTTGACGCAATCTTACCTCTCCGAAGCAATCCGTTTCGCTCAATTTCATTTTAACACGTCATGATCAAAACCAGGATGTCATGTGCACAATACAGAACTTTCGGGAAAAACATAATTAAGCAAGGAACTTCGATCGCCTTATAATGCATTAGAAATCGATCGACGGGTATCACAGCATTCAATCGCAAATCAGGGGCATAACAAACATTGACTCATGGTCTGTTTTTGGGATATAATTGTACACGTAATTTGCGCTACATAAAATTTATGCTAGAACTTTCAGGACCGCAGGAAAACGTCTATTAGTCAGTATTTTTACGTATATACTGCGGCATATTTTTACATGATTTCGTGACTTATCTCACATGATTCAAAAATGACCGTGAGGTAGGACGAAAGCAACACGGACAAACTTTATTACATTGTAGTATACAACATTTACAAAACAAATATATGCTCATGATCCAAGTTCAGCTTTAATGGTTTTAAGACTTCCGATTTCCTGGTTATCGCGGATAAGATAAGTGTTATCATAAACATCCCTTAGATATAAAACAGTTTGTCCGGTAAATTTTGACAAAGCATTCCGCAACAACGGTTCCAAGTCACCGTTACTTTCTTCATATTTCTGGTCGTTATACGTACAAGAAAACAAGGGTTTATTACTTCTATCAATTTTTATAACCCTGAAATCATAAGATTTCCCGTCTTTCTCATAACGTAATGTATCGCCAATTTGGATTTTCTTCTTTTCACATAGTTTTCTTAACAATGTTCCGGACGGTTGCTTGGAAGCCTTTCGAGGTGGTGAGAAACTACTACTCTTCCCCGTTGTCACATTTCCGACTTCGCTATCAGTCCCGCTAAATTTGACACCTATTGTAGAATTTACCGAAACAAAAAAGTGAGGCAGAGTTTAGAAATAGCTTTCCCTAGTGTCGATAATTTTACCGAATTCGGAACAGTCATACTCACAATTGAGACGATCAGTTAATATTCGAATATTTTCACACATTTGAGCCTGTGCTTGAATCTGAGCGTGAACTAATGCCTTTAACTCCCTCAACTCATCCCTCAAGGAAGTCACATTTTTGCCCATATAAACTTGGATAACATCTTTCCTGATGATCTTCACTGCATCGGAGACTGTTTTCTCATTATCTAATAATTCTACGAAATCTAACACTTCAGCCGGAACTTTTTGTAAGCCCACAATATTATCAGCAGGCACGGATACTTTCCAGATTCTGAATTCATCCGTTGCGATACTTTTTTCGCTCCTGACTAAGATTAGCTTTTTTAGCCTTTCAATCGTATCGTCTTTGCCAACCGTAACGTTAAATGGGCCGTCTATACCTTGAAGAAAACACAGGATAGTGACTTCAGACATTTTTCATTATTAAGTCTGATACCAGAGTCAATCTTGTCGTATTTATACTTCAAATTTCTTTCCCACGACAAACCTGTTAACGTTTCACGACACTGCGGTTAATGACCTCGTCCCTTCGGCTTACGGTAAATTATACCCTTTTAGCATGGTCATATACGCAAGTCGACTAGCTCATGTAGATCTCGGAATTACGGAGGTTCCACGCGGAATTAATGGCCCCTGTCGATGTGATCGTCGTCCGGACTAGCTGAATCGGAAATGTATACAAACTATCCTTACTACTGCGGCCCCGGTGGTGGCAATTAAGCACAGCATTAGGATATCCCCTGCAATCTCGAGCTTCCACATGACCGGCTATGCTGCCACCTCAAGATCCCCCGTATATCTAAACATACAACCTATACGATAAGAGGCACAAGAGTGAGTCCCCGGAAGATTCTTATAATAACCTACTATATTTTCTTCATGATTCGTTCCGCATGATGGACAAAGTGCAGATTTTGTCATGCAATGATATATGTCTGTAAGTTCGTTACTTCGTCTTAGAGATATACCAGGATAAAGCTTTAAGACTTTATTGCGGAAATAGGCCTGGTCGAGAATTGGACTATTGGAGTGAGGTGCAGTCAGAATGTTACCCTCAGTCGGAACCAATGGATCCACTTGCGTCTCCGATGTCTTAGCCTGATCATCCGCAATCATCTCTTCAGAGATAGGTGCAGTTGATACACTTGCCTCAGCTGAATTTGGGCCTGGGCCCCCGGCTGAAATCTCAGTCATGTGGTAGAATCATTGTCATCGTTCCGCTCAGAGTAATTATCTATAATCGCTTGGATTTTATCATTCGTTAGTTCTGAAATGGAGTTTGCACTATATGACGTGATGTATTTGATTTTGTTAACACCTAACTTCTCAAATAATTTAAATATCTTTACAGCTTTCTGAGTTTTCCCTTGCAAGCATTTGCGGGAGATTTCTGGTAGTTGCATTCCTGTTTCCTCAGATTTCTTTTTACGAAGAATAGAAAGGTCTTCCAAGACTTTATCATAGATTACTCCCTTTCCCTTTTTTTCACCAATTTCTCCTTTACCATCATTAGTAATTGCTCTAACCTGAATCAAGAATTCTTCTCCATAATAAAACCAGCGTAAAATCTCTTTCTGATTAGCACGAATTGCGCCACACTTGGCATCCGTAGCTCTATAGAATAATTGTGCTAATGAATGCGGAACTGTAGAAGAATTTTGACTGGGGCCCCCGGCTGAAATCCCATCGCAAGGATTGGTTTTATTGACGGAATGGGAATCATCTCGAATACCATCTGCAATCAATTGTACGATATTTTCTGCGCCTTTCTTCCTATGATTATTTTTTGCAGTCGACTCACTGGCCTTCTTCTTATTTTGTTCGATCAAGAAAGCATCCATTTTCTCATCCTCTAATTTCGCTTCCCTAGTATTTTGTGCCTTTCCACCAACTTTTGAAGAGACCTGTTCCACTTTCGCGATTCTAGACTCATGTTCCGCAACTTAGACTTAAGTTCAGCATTCTCGGTGACAGTATCTTCCCTACTCTTCTCTAACTCCTTGAATCGACTCATCAGTTCCCGCTTGAGCTTCGCAACCTCATTTTTAAGATCAAAATTTTCAACCACAAGGACACCACTTTTATCATTAAGCTCAACAATCTTAGCCTTAAGCTCGACATTCTTCGCCTCAAGCTCAGCGTTACGCTGTCTCAATACTTCAAGTTCGGATGGGATCACTTCGCTAACCGACATTATGGAAATTTTATACACATCAGGAAATGTTCAATGTAGTATGAAGAACGAAAGAATAAAGTATGTAAGTATGATCCGTGAAATAGTAAAAGTGCTTATTGGAATCCTGTATCTGATGAGCCTGCACAGATATTGCATCATCGCACGTGTCTCGTTATATGATCGGAAATGACACTCTAATGATATACGATAGGATGCACGAATGGGAAAACATCTGTTATTACTCTGCATGCAAGGGAGGAAAAGACTGGAAGTGACAGATATTGGACATAATCACTTTATTACAGTAGTCCGCAGACGGGGTTCCCCTTTTTGTTCTGCCTGAGATCATGCCAGCCTCTGTCCACAGGGAATAGACTCTGGACTATAGAATCGAAGGACCGCAGGACCGCAGACTGCAGAAAAAAATGACTAAGCAAGGGACACAAATTTATTAATAGACTGATGTATGTCAGTAAAGAAAGCAACGTGACATGGACTGTGTAACTGACTGCTGTGGTTTCACTCCACCGCGTCTGACTTTGATAATCACGAAGATGTTTATCACTCTTGTTCCTATACATCACTGGTAGAATAGTCCATTTCGTCCAAATTTCAAATTGACGAATGTTGGACGAAAGTTGATCTAATTTTGGCCGATCATTGCCAAAAAAATTGTCAAAATTATTATGGACGATTTGCACAGTTCGCCTGCCACTTGGCAATTACAAATCGGCAAAAATTCAATGAAAAATCAGAAATAAACTATTCGTCAGTCATTCATCCAAATTTCAAATTGCCGAATGTGTCATCGGGCTGGATGTGGGAGGTGCAAGCACCACCCACCTCCGGGTCTACGACCTGTCGCAGTACCTCCTTCCCCCCTACGGGGAATCAGGAATCCCCTATATCTGTCACCATCTGTCAATAACATCTGTCATATAACAATAAACTAAAAAAGGATAAAATAAGGGAAAAGAGAGGAAAATACGATAGAATCAGAGGGTATGACAGATATGACGGATATGACAGATGTTTCAGAAAAATCGGGAGAGGGGTATCCCCAGAAAAAAGTTTTGATTTTACCCCCCCAGATCTGTCATTCTGTCATAGTTCTGTCATATGATCAGGATTCCGTCTAATAATCTGTTGGAAGCAGTGAGATAGCAAACCAAATAAG